ATGCCTCTATACAAATGCCCGTAGCATGGGGAACAAAGAAGAGGAATTAGAGATGTGTGCATGTCTACAGGAGTATGATATAGTAGGCATCACAGAAACATGGTGGGATGGCTCCTATGACTGGAGTGTTGGAATGGAAAGTTACAGGCTCTTTAGGAAAGACAGGCCTGGCAGGCAGGGAGGGGTGTTGCCCTTTATGTTAGGGATAGGTTGGAGAGTATGGAACTCTGTCTGGGGACAGGTGAGCAGTCCACAGAGAGTTTGTGGGTCAGGGTTAAAGGGAATATAGCTATGGGAGACATTACTGTGGGGATCTGTTACAGACCACCTGATCAAGGAGAACCTGCTGATGAAGCACTCCATAGATAGGAAAAGCCTCAAACTCGCAGGCCCTTGTTCTCATGGCTGACTTCAACCACCCTGACATCTGTTGGAAGGACGGTACGGCCCGGCACAAGCAATCCAGGAGGTTCCTCAGTTGTGTAGAAGACAACTTCCTTCTGCAAGTAATAGAGGAGCCGACAAGGAGAGGTGCCATGCTTGACCTCATGCTCACCAACAGGGAAGGGCTCATTGGAAATGTGACTCTCCAGGGCAGCCTTGGATGCAGCGATCATGAGATGCTCGAATTTGAGATCCTCAGGACAGTGAGAAGAGCGTGCAGCAAGCTCACTGCCCTGGACTTCAAAAGAGCAGACTTTGGCTGGCTTCGGAAGGTTCCATGGGATACAGCCCTAGAGAGCAGAGGGGCCCAAGACTGTTGGTTGATATTCAAGGATCACCTGCTACAACCTCAGGAGTGTTGCATCCCAACCAGAAGGAAGTGCAGCAGCAGGGCCAGGAGACCTCCTTGGATGGCTAAGGAGCTCCTGAGGAAAATTCTATTGAAAAAAGAGGCTTATAATAAGTGGAAGCAAGAACAAGTGGCATGGGAAGAGTACAGGGATGTTGTCCGAGAAGCTAGGGACCAGGTTAGGAAAGCTAAGGCCCAGTTAGAATTAAACTTAGCTAGACTTATTAAAGATAACAGGAAGGGATTCTACAAGTACGTAGCAAATAAAAAACAGACTAAGGAGAACGTAGGCCCCCTCAGGAAGCTCTCAGGAGAACTGGCTACACAGGATTTGGAGAAGGCTGAGGTTCTGAATGACTTCTTTGCCTCGGTCTTCACTGCCAAAGGCTCTGACCAAACCACCCAAGTCTTGGAAGGCAGATGCAGGGCCTGTGAGAATGAAGACCTTGTGCCCACTGTAGGAGAGGAACTGGTTCGAGACCATCTTAAAAATCTGGACGTGCACAAGTCCATGGGTCCTGATGAGATCCATCTGCAGGTCCTGAAGGAGCTGGTGAATGAAGTTGCTAAGCCACTGGCCATCTTATTTGAGAAATCATGGCAGTCAGGTGAAGTTCCCGATGACTGGAAAAAAGGGAAATATAACCCCCATTTTCAAGAAGGGGAAAATGGATGACCCAGGGAATTACAGACCAGTCAGTCTCACCTCTGTGCCTGGCAAAATCTTGGAGCAGATTCTGCTGGAAGGCATGCTAAGGCACATGAAAAACAACAAGGTGCTTGGTGACAGCCAGCATGGCTTCACTAAGGGGAAATCCTGCCTGACCAATTTGGTGGCCTTCTATGATGGGGCTACAGAACTGATGGACGGGGTAGAGCAGTTGATGTCATCTACCTGGACTTGTGCAAAGCGTTCAACACTGTCCCACACGACATCCTTGTCTCTAAATTGGAGAGACATCAATTTGATGGATGGACCACTTGGTGGATAAAGAACTGGCTGGATGGCCGCACGCAAAGAGTTGTGGTCAATGGCTCAATATCCGGCTGGAGACCAGTAACGAGTGGTGTCCCTCAGGGATCGGTGTTGGGACCGGTCTTGTTTAACATCTTTGTTGGTGACATGGACAGTGGGATTGAGTGCGCCCTCAGCAAGTTTGCCGATGACACCAAGCTATGTGGTTCAGTTGATACCCTGGAGGGAAGGAATGCCATCCAGAGGGACCTAGACATGCTTGTGAGGTGGGCTGATGCCAACCTCATGAAATTTAACCATGCCAAGTGCAAGGTCCTACACCTGGGTCAGAGCAATCCCAGGCACAGCTACAGGTTGGGCAGAGAAGAGATTCAGAGCAGCCCTGTGGAGAAGGATTTGGGGGTGTTGGTTAATGAGAAAATGAACATGAGCTGGCTTCAGTGTGCGCTTGCAGCCCAGAAAGCCAACCATATCCTGGGCTGCATCAAAAGGAGCGTGACCAGCAGGTCGAAGGAGGTGATCCTGACCCTCTACTCTGCTCTTGTGAGACCTCACCTGGAGTATTGTGTGCAGTTCTGGTGTCCTCAGCATAAAAAGGACATGGAACTGTTGGAACAAGTCCAGAGGAGAGCCACGAGGATGATCAGGGGACTGGAGCACTTCCCGTATGAAGACAGGCTGAGGAAGTTGGGGCTGTTCAGCCTGGAGAAGAGAAGGCTGCGTCGAGACCTCATAGCAGCCTTCCAGTATCTGAAGGGGGCCTGTGGGGATGCTGGGGAGGGACTCTTCATTAGAGACTGTAGTGACAGGACAAGGGGTAACGGGTTAAAACTTAAACAAGGGGAAGTTTAGATTGGATATAAGGAGGAAATTCTTTCCTGTTAGGGTGGTGAGGCACTGGAATGGGTTGCCCAGGGAGGTTGTGAATGCTCCATCCCTGGCAGTGTCCAAGGCCAGGCTGGACGAGGCCTTGGGTGATACAATTTAGCGTTAGGTGTCCCTGCCCACGGCAGGGGCATTGGAGCTAGATGATCTTAAGGTCCTTTACAACCCTAACGATTCTATGATTCTGTGATTCTATAATTTTATATTCTTATGCTTCTTTTTGTAAAAAAAGTATTCCAATTTCAGTTAAGAAACTTTTCCACACCTATTAGCAGGTGTTATAACAGCCAGCTGGAATGCATACAATTTAATTTTCATTTTCTCTTTCTGCATCTGTCTTTTTATGCTTTAGTATTTGCCTTTTTATGCCTTTTTAATGTTATATGTTATAATTTGAGAACTTTTTTTTTGTTTATCCGTTATATTCAACATAATTAGTCATAGATCAGGCAAAATTTGCATGTCCCTAAAACTGCTGTGTCTAGTTTTCAACATACAAAGAAAATACTATTTTTTCAAGGAACAATTTCATACAACACTAATGTTCTCCAGTGGCCACTAAGTAATAAGACTGATTCTGCTAAATACGCTTTTGCTGAAGAGTGACCTGAATAGTTATTTTAATTTTAATGATTGCAAGAGTAGTAAACATAAGAGTTTAGAGATGAGCACATGGTGAAGAACCTTCTGTAAGACACAGTGAAGAAATGAGCTGTTCCTACAGACAGGTCCAAGCAAGACAACTTGCTAATAAATACATCACTGCCATTCTCTACTGACAGCTGACAACACACCATAGTTTTTGAAGTAATGGATCATGTACCTGATGCATAATAAGTAAAACAGCAACTGCCACTTCAGTGTGTAGAGTGTGAAATGGATATTCCAGGCTACAGGCAGAGTAGCAGAACACCAGTCATCAGGGCACTTGCAAAAGTGTCTCGCACATATGAACACTAGTATGGGCAAGAAAGGCATAATAGCATCTGAATGGCTGAGTCCTTTACCAAACAATGATGTTATTTTTACCACCCCACCGTTAAAATCCAAGGATAGTGAAAATCTTAGTAATAAAACTACACCAGATGTTCCAAAATTTAAAAAAAAAGAGCCTGAAAAAAGTATCTAGAACTGAGGAGACTGTAGCAGGGTTGCTGTATATGAAAATGAAGTAATAGACTGAAAGCTTAAGATACAACTGAAGAAGAAGAAGAAGAAAAGAAAACAAGGAACTTGAATAGTTTCTCTATAGCTACAGCAACGGCAGATCATAACAGACCACGGAGAACTAGGCAGATAGGCTTTCCAGGCTTTCTTTAGGTTTATAGAATATGTTTCTACAACCTTTCTGATGAATCTAACACTATATTATTTTTTCTTTAATTGGAATGCAAATTAAGCAATTAATAAGCAACTAGAGTCCAGCTGTACAACTAACCTTTTGCTTTCAATTCTGTAATGTGAACGTTGACCTTAAGCCCTACTGTATAAACATATCATACTATAAATCTTATATTTTTCAGACAGATGAGATGAGCAACATTGGACACCTTAGCTTTTTAGAGAAAGAAAACTCAAGAAAGGTGTGCTGTCACTCTGAGGGATACATTTAGCCACCAAATGTCATACAAAGTGCTTTAGGCCAAGCTGAACATAGACATGATGACAATCTGCTAATACGATGAGAAACTGCAAACAACACATATCTACAAAAAGGCCCACTGCTCACTTGAGACCAACAAATATTATTATAGGATTGAAACTTCATTGTTTATTGTGCTGAATTCATTTCTCGTTTAGGAACATTTAGATTTGTGTCCCTTTATCCCTTCTGTAATAACTCTCTACTCTGTGTACCTTCACATTATTCTCATTTAATATGAGTTAATGGTGGATAAAAGTCACAGAATCATAGAGTTATAAAATCGTTTAGGTTGGAAAAAAACATTTAATATTAAGTCCAACTATTGTTTCCAGTTTCAGGGGTTTTAGGGTTGTTTCTGTTTTGTTTTGATTTTTTCCAGCTGAGGCAAAGCAGCTGAATGATGAATTACATCAGCTCTTCTGTTCACTGGCAGGGAACTCTGCACATAACTTATCCTCCCCTTATAGGTTGTTCCATTATCACTCTCTGGGAGATGGGTCATTCAACTAATTAAATATTTGAGGAGGACGGGTAGTAATGGGACAGGAATAGAGTAACAGGTGACACCACTATTGCAAGTGTTCTACAAAGTGAAGCCCTGTTAAGCAGATCTATGGGCTTCTTATCTTCAACACTTTTCTCTCTCAACTTTTCTGTTTTTTTCATCAAAACAAAATGATTCTTTTTTCTGTTGTTTGAATTCTGGAACTGACTGATTACCGTTAAAATATGTTACCATAGAATATAAATGCAACATATAAGTAAGTTTTATTGTTTCATTCTTCTCACGAGTAATTATTTACTATAAAATGTACTTAGCAATGAAACAGTTCATTTTTCTTCTGATCCCCCAATTTAAAAACTGAGGTGGGTAGTAGAACTCCTTGATTTAGTTGCAAATTAGTGCAAAAATAATTTCCTCAGGAGGCTGAGACATAGTGCTGTGAAAGTATATGAATCTTATAATCTACTTCTTGATTATATTGCAGGAGTGACAATTATCCTACTATCAACCTGAATACAGATAAGTGGTGGTCAAATTAGCCTGATCATTTTTTCTTTCCTACCTCTGGGGGGAATTGATCACTGTCGGTTTATAACAACTTTCTTTGAAGAATTCAGCAGGACTTGTTGAATTAGAGCTATCCTATCTTCTGCCTTTGCAATTCACTGAGCCAGTTCTATCATGACTAACAGACATGGCTGTTTCTTATCAACTTGAACTTACTTCCCTCAAGGTGTTTACAACCTGCATGTTTCTCAGTTTGCTTTGGAACCTTTCTTGTTAGTAAAGTGAGGCTCACAGGCCTACAATTCCCCATGGCCTCTCTTCCTTTCTAAGGTAGCGATTTGTCTTTTCCCATCCTCTCTCTTCCTAGATCCTCCTTGTCCTGTAAAACCTCACTGAGAAAACTGCTAATGGCCCTAACATTATTTCTTCTAGTTAAATGTTTATGTACTGTAGGAAGAATGTCATCAGGCTCTGCCTACGTAAAACCTAAAAGTTTTCTCTTTTTCTTGGCAGTTGCCCTTGTTAAAAATCCTTTGTTGTGGGACTGTATTAATACAGTTGACTCTCGGGTTTTGGATAATTTTGAAAAGGTATTGATTCATGATGATATACTACTTATTCACTGATAGTATGACAGCAAATCTTGATTCTGCAAGTCCTATCAAAGATCACTGACTGGCTTAAGGCATTTTTTAGTGCATCTTCTTTTTTTTTCTCTTCCTGCAGTGCTTGCTGCAGAAAATATTATGCACCTTATAAAGGCATAGTTACTCTTTCCATATTCTGCTGGGGGAAAGCATCCAGACTTTGTACAGGAGAGTCAGCAATTACTTAGAAATAAGGATATCTGACTGCAAGTAATATTAGATGCAATTGTGAACAACGGTCACGTAAACACGAAGTACGGCCTTGATATTTTCCCAGTCACTTATATTTTGAATTATGAATTGTTTGCGTAAGGATGGTTAAAATGAATGTGGATTTTGTTTTGTTTTGTTTTTTTTCATTTGTATGTCTTCTTCCTTTTATGATTCTTAAAGCTTCCTAGTTTTTACTCTTATAGCATCACCACCACAGAAAATAAACAATGTGGTTTAGATTTTTTCCAAAATATTTTGTGTGTACCAGCCTACTGGTCTTCTTTTGGCAATGAATTGTTAAGGGCATGTTTTGTCTCCATTGTTTTCCCCTAAATATTTCAAAAATTACAGCATAGCTCTTAGAAGGTGCTGTTCACATGAATTGTTAATGTTTAACTGTTGTCTTTCAAGGCTTTCCTAAGCAACCTAAATTGGCCTTGGGGTGTATTACACCGCAAGTCACAGTGGAGACTGAGAAAGGATTGTATCTGGGGGAATATTAAAACAACATCAGAGCTTTGACCAAATCCCTTTGCAGCATTCCTTAATTCATAGCTATTGAGCAAGTACAGATGTAACAAAGCAGATTGTTAGAGATTAGAATATTTGGAACCTGAAGTTCAAGAAGCTTTGCATATATGACAGACTATAAAAGCAAAGCCAATTTAAGCAGGTCCCACTGCAATAGTATCTACCTTGCTGAGAAGTAAAACAAACTAATAAAGGAAGAAAGGTCACAGAGAGAGCAGCCTTCTGCTGACTCTAATGTGAAGAATACAAATCTTTATGAGAATTCAAGCCTCTGACTCTCTCTATTCCTCACATGCTAGGTCATTTGAAAGGAACAGAATAACCAAGAGGGAAAGGTTAATAATAGGTTTCAAAACCCCATCAAGCCAAAATCAGAAGTCAAGCAAAGTAGACATGAAATGCAGAGATAAAGACAGGCGTATTCAGGAACTGGTAGAGTAGTAGTGAAAGCTGATTCAGATAAGAAAATACCAAATTTCTTGCTATCTGAAATACGTATGTTCACTCTAAGGCTATTTTATCATTCAAACAAATATGGACATACAAAAATAAAGCATGTGGATATTTGCAGTCAGAGAAAAGGATGATGCTTTGATATTAAAGCATTAATCTATGCTAGGTAACATAATGTTCCATGATCACATAATGAAAGAGTATTTAGAAGAGTCACAGGGAAGAGAGCAGTATACACCTAGCTGATAGAACCTTAAATGAGGAGAAAATTCTCTGCTGGCAGAAATTGGCACTATGCCTGGTACATCAATGAAGTTGAATTAATCTATAGAGAACTTGATCTTGAATAACCCAAGCTTAATTCTGCTAAAAAGTCTATGGGGCTTACCAGACTCCTACATATTTTATTCATAAACAGACCAGAAATCCAGAATAAACAGGGAAAACTATGTCAGTACAGTCAAAATATAACAGAACTCTCCAAAATAAATTTTAAAGGTACCACATTATAAATTTTAATACAATTGATATACAAAAAGATCTGCCACTTATAAGATGACAGTGCCTTACCATTAGTTGGTGTCTGAGGTTCTGAATTTCATTGCAAAGAGTAAAAAAAACACTAATATTTTTGAGATTCATTGTAACATTAATATCAGTTTTGAAAATCTGAACAAAAAAATTCTTTCTGAAAAGGTTATTTTCCTACTTTTCTTTTTAAACACTTCCCCTCCCCCTCATCCTTCTCCACCATCCCGGGGCAGGGCGGGGGGGGGGAATAACATGTTCTGTTGCTAAATCCTGAATTGTGAATAAGCATTCTTTTCCTGCCTTGACAAAAGCACAAAATTAAAAAAAAAAAAAAAATCTTCTTTCTGTCTTCTCAGGCCACTGTGTAGCTTTACTCAAGCAATATGGTTAGGCTGTCTGTCTAGTAATGATTTTTTCTAGGCAGTTCTTTTGGTTTCACAATTAAATGAAGAACAGGAAAGAAAAAGATACATGGAGAGAAAGGGGAAAAAAAAAAGAAGGAACATCATGGAAATTAAGAGTTGTATAAATTCAAATATGTATGGAACACTACTGTGAGACAAAGATGGGGTCAGACATCCCTATAGGTGTAAAAGTATCTGCCACAGTAATAGAACAAGTTGAAAGGCACAAGCAATGTACACAGGTTCTGGAGAGAAAGAGATGCCAGACAATCCATAATCATATCATCATCTGCAGGAGGAACTCAAACATAATGCCCAAAGAGATCACAGGAGAACCACAACAGGACCTCATAATAGGCAAAAAAAAGTTCAAGAGCCATTATTTCTATTCTTTTTTTACCAGGAAGAAAACTTCTGGACAATTTCCAATCCCTTTAATTTCTTACTTTCTAAAACACAGTCGAAAAGATATTCCCTGATTAGACCATCTTTTAGTTGACCATCAGAATGCAGTCTGTCTCCCTTTTAACATTTTCCTTAAATATTTATTTTCTTTGGCTGATTGAAATGTGAAGAAATCTTAATTTACTTTCCACAACTGAAGAACAAAATACAGTCAGCAGAGTCATATCCTCTGTTTGTAAATTAACTCAAAGTTAATTTATTGCTATAAATTACTGTAGTAATATCCTCTGTTTGTAAATTAAAGAAAAGTATCCAAACTACTACTTCAAGTTGTACCAACATTATATATGTTTTGGGTTTTTTTTTAATGAATAAAGGACACCAACTGAACCATTTATTCACACTTGTCTTCATATTAGCAGGTGCCCAAAATTGCCAATTCTTTATTTGTAAGCAAAATTAAATGAGATTTTAGTGTAAACAGAATAAATTCCAGAACCTTCCCCAGAAAGCTGAGGCTGATCTACCAAGAACTGGAATAATAACAGTAATATAGTGAATGATAGTAAAAATCACTATAGTATGGCTACTTATTGAAAACATCTTTCCTTATTGAAGACTTTAATGAGCAAAATTCTATAGTCAGTGACATGATTGAGGTCAGACTGGCCTTAAAATCTGTTAAACAAATCTCTTAAGGACCATTACTGAATTTTTGTTCTGTACTGCTGTTCATTACCTAGAAGTAGCCCTTTCAAGGAGGCTTTTAATTTATGTTGAGCACTGTTTTCAATTTATATGTTGAGCACTATAGACAACACTTGCAGCCTAATGAGTTCTCCCCTTTAAGGAGGAGCTACTGGATTTTAGATCCCTACTGTGTTACTTACAGCATGAATATATGAAAAAGGGTGGCTGTATCTACTGCTTAATGAAAGGTGGCAAAACTGAAACAATAAATTCAACCATCTAAAATTCATCTGTACAGAGACAGCTATACATGGAAGATTCAGGTTTTAAAGAATTAATTTAAAAATAAACTTCCTTAATTCTAAAATCAGATATGCAAATTAATGATCTCTATGTTCAGTTTAATGATCTATAAAGATTTCATAGCTCATTATCACCCACAGTCCTTGATACCCATGGCAAACATACACTTTTCCACAAGATGAGACGGGATATACAGGACATCTTATTTGGACATAGTTTAGTCAGATCTTACTTTCTTCTTTTAATAAAAGTAAAAATAATCCATGTACTATTCTGTATCTCAAAAACATTCTAACCTTGCTACAGCTTATATGTAAATGGAGATTTAACCAAATATAAATGCAGTAACATCAGTAAATAAAAGATTATCACAACATCTCTATTAACTTATACCCAGAATTATTTTGACAATAAAAATACCATTTTTGTAATGATTATGCCAACAGACCTTATGCTGATTCACAAAAAAACACATATATTTTCATCTACCTTCACATGGGTCATAGAAGCATCTGACAACAGAGTTATCAAATCCCTGTCTAAAGTTTCCACTTCAGATAAGAAATGTGAGTAAAAAACGTGTATATCTTCTATCTAAGCTAGGCCAGAGAAGAAATGTATACTGTGGAAGACCACTGATATGTTTCTGTTTCTGTACCTGACAGTCCAATTCTGTAAGTGTCAAATAGAACAATGTAAGAAGCCATCTGTGACACTGATCAGGGTCATATCTACCAATGTAATGTGAAATATTAATTCTAGTTCTGTGTGTTTTGCTTCCAGTGCACTTGTAAACCTATAAGTCTCTTAAAAAAACTCTTATGTGAAGTGATAGAACAATTTTGGTCCATAACCACTAATTTTGCTTATAGAAGTTAAAAGCAGGGTTTCCTCTTTGAAACATTGCTTCAAACACATTTTCTGTTTTTTTTTTTTTTTTAAAGACAAGCAATCTTTTCTCTGCTGTCAAATTCCTGGTTTCATTAAAAACCCTGATGCTTATCGTAACTTTAGTTCTTAAACTCTGAGAGGATTGTTGAGCACATTAATAATATTCAATAAAAAAATCTGCATTAATACAGTTATGAACATAGAATTATAATAAGAAAACTGTTAGCCAAGGTACCATATCAAAGGCTTTTAAAGAAACTAAGAATTATGGGACTGGAAGAAAGGCTTTTGTAGAGACTGAAAGCTAGTTAAGGGGTAAGATGCAAAGGGCAGAGCTAGTGGTCACTTTCCAGAATGCAGAAGGGTTAGCTGTAGTGTCCAGAAGTTGGTCCTGGGACTAGTTTTATTCAATGTCTCATCAATAATCTGGAAGAGGAAGTAAATAAAAAAAACCTGCCTGGCAGAAAGGAACCTGAAGTTGTTGGTCATTGGCTGGCTGAATATGAGCTGGTAGTGTGCGTGGGTGGCCAAGAGGCCAGTTCCATTCTGAGTTGTATCAGAAACAGTGTGACCAACAGAACCAGGGCAGTGATCATCCTCCTGAACTCAGCGCTGGTGGGGCTGCACCTTGAATACTGTGTTCAGTTTTGGGCCCCTCAGTAGAAGAAAGACATCAAGGGTTAGGGAGTGTGTCCAAAGAAGGGCAGGAAAGCTGATGAAGGTTCTATAGCACAAGACTTATGAGGAGCAGCTGAGGCAACTGGGGTTGTTTAGCCTGGAGAAAAGGAGGCTGAGGAGAGAACTTATTGCTCTACAACTACCTGAGAGAAGGTTATAGCAAAGGGGGGGGGGGGAACGGGACGGGACAGGACTGTGCTCAGGGGTTGGTCTCTTGTCCCAAGTAAGAAGTGACATCCTCAAGTTGCACCAGGGGAGGTTTAGACTGGGTATTAGGAAAAAAATTCTTCACTGAGAGAAATACCAAGCACTGGAACAGGCTGCCCAAGAAAATGGCCACCATCCCTGAAGGTACTTGAAAGTAGTGTAGATATGGAGCTTAAGGATGTGGTGGACCTGGCAGTGTTAGGTTTACATTGGTCTTGATGATCTCGAAGATCTTTTCCAACCTAAATGATTCAATGAAATCTCAAGACTTGTGAATGGATAATCAAATGTAATTCAAATGATGACTAACCTTACAAAACTGAATGAACAGACAAAAAGGTGATATATCAGCTTCAGTAGTGAAAAATAAACTGATCCATACCTCTGCAATGCTGACCTCAGAACTAGCTGTTACAGTTCAGGAGAGATTTTTTTAATCACTTTTTAAAGTTCTTGGAAATCATCAGCTTGGTGTTCATCATCTAGCAAGGAAACCAATGACATATTGCATATCAAAATGACAGGTATTGAGGAAAACACAAAAAACTGTCATTCTGTTACTATATAAAGACTTAGTGAACACACATTATGAACACCACATGCAGTTCTGCTTTTTGCATCTCTGGAAGAGAATACTAGAATTAAGGGAGGTGACCAAAGGCAAGGAGCAGCTTCAGTACAAGACTCATATGTCTGGGGCTTCTATGTTTAGAGAGAAAATGTTGGTCAATAGTTACAATATCATGAAGAAAAGAGGCAATTTGTACACAGCTGGTGCTCACATACAAGACCTAGTGAGTCCTTGATAAAAGTTGTAGAGAACCAGATGAAAAGAAATAAAGGAAGATATTTCTTAACATAGCAGGCAGTAGAATTTGCAGGCAAAAGCATGTGGAGGCAGATACTACCAGCAGATAGACGTATGAATTAGATTATTGGAAAACAGGCATGCAAAAGGATTAGTCAGTGACAGTCCCTCAAATATTCCTAACACAACAGTTGTTGATACTGGCAGAGTATGAGGGCAATGGTGTCCCTGTGGTTCTTCTGGACACAAAATACTGTACTAGATGGATGAGTGGTCTGGCTAGTTAGGGCATTTACAATATGTCCATGTTAAGCAAAACAAAAGTGATGAGCACTAGTATCACTTTTTAAAATAATAGAAAATGCTTACCACTTTCAGGAAATAGCTTTTTGGCCTTAGAAGAGACCAAGAAATAAACCAGTAATTAAAACCTTTTGTGGAAGTTGCAGTAATGACATTAATTTAATGATAAAAACTTGGATTTCCTCCATTGAGCTACAGACCAAAAGTCTCAGAAAGTCTTTTCTTTACCACATAGAGCAATGTAGGAACTGACTGTGGTCTGGAAAGATGTTTCTACCTGCACTACATTTTTCTTGAACCATTTTTGAGAGAAGCATTTTAGAGTTGTGCTAACATGACTATAGTTACAATGGTGAACCCTAGCTAATAAATCTTGTCTATTGCTAATTAATTGGAAACACTGTTAACGGGAATTTGTCTTAAACCCTAGCCAAAATTAGGCACTTTGCTACTGTCTTGAATTCAGTATTCATAGCAATGAACCCTCTACTAAAAATAGACTTTGAAAGAATGATTTCATATTGGAAGTGCAACACTTTAAAAATACATCTGAAAGTAGAACATTCATTTCCCCTCAGGCTAATGGTTATAGTACTCTGAAAAGCAGGAGAAACTTACTCAGTTTCCTTTACAGCCTCAGGGAAGACTTTTAGAACATATTTTGTATATCCACACTTTCTTTCTAAGTGGCTTTGGTTTTGGTTTTTTTTTAAATGCTTGCACTGGACATAGGTGACAAGGTGTTTGTAGCAGGGGTACTGCAAGGGTGGCCTCTATGAGGAGAAATCAAGGGATGGTCTGTGATGTATACAGCTGACTCTGCAACAGGCACGCTCTAGGACACAGCTGAGCCAGTCAACCATGCTGGTGGTGGCTCTGTGAAAACATATTTAAGAAAAGGCAGAAAACAATGAACAAAGGGTGGAAGAGGGAAAAAAAAGGGTGAGAAACAGCAGAGGGAACAGCAAGGTCATGGGAGGGGGAAGTGCTCCATTGCAGAATAGGCCAATCCCCATTTCCAGAAACGGACTGCAGCCTATGGAGGGCCCATGCTGGAGTCGGTACACCTCTGAAAAGACTGTAGTGCATGGACAAGTCCACACCAAAGCATGTATTTCCTGAAGGAACTATAGCCTGTGGAGAACCCACACTGAAGCAGGTACTCCCTGAAGAGTCTGCAGCCTCTGGAGGACCTATACGGGAGCCGAATGGAAAGAAGGAAGGAGGCAGCAGAGTCTGCTGGTCCTGACTACATTCCCCGCTCCTGTGCTGTCCATTGCCTCAGTGAAGGGACTGAGCACAATAACGAGATGAAAGATATTTTCCTTTAGTATGCAAATGTTTTAGTTTATTTCTCACTACTCAGTAATTAAATATTTATTTTAATTCTCAATAAATTAATTTCCCCAAGTTGCGCATTGTTTACCTGTGACAGTAATTAATAAGTGATCTCCGTGTCTTTAACTCAACCCACAATTTTTCTTATTCTTGTTCTTCCTATTTCTCCTACCCCTGTCCGACTGAGAGAGCGAGTGAGCAAGCAGTTAAGTGCATGTTTGGCTGCTATCCCTGGCTAACCTGCTATGTATTATTATACCCTTCTTAAAGACATATTGGAAACACTCCTAAGGACAAGAAGATCCAGTTTGTCTTCCAAAAGCAGAAGAATCAGTTCAGCATAACGGTAACATGACTTCCTTTTACACAGAAGGTAGTGGTTGATTGACTTAAATTTCAGTTATACGCTTATAAGATCTTGTATTAACACCTGAATATAGAAAGTTTTTTGCACTCTTCTGAAAAAAAAAAAGACTTTTGATCACATTTTTTCTTAAAAAAAGGAAGTAAGACATAAAACAAAAGTAAGGTTCTAAACAAACTGAAGGATTACAGGGAATACAAAATATCATAACCATTTAAAATTAGGCAAGCATCTGTCAGTGCAAATTGATATTGTAGGTGAAGCGAATACTCTTACTCATCTTTGTAAGAATTAGGTTGATACTCTGGTTATTAGTAATCTGTTTGCTCTCTTCTATTTTGTGGCTTTTTACAAAAGGCTACTATGAATCTTTTTAACCTAGTTGCAAGATAAGTAAAAAACCTTCTGATAAAACTTCAATTAGAAAGGAACAAAAAAAAAAAAAAAGGTTGTAATTTGTTTGTGCAAGGACTAGTTTGTCTTCATTTAGAGAAAATCTTTTTAATCACAAAAATTTGCTGACACTAAGCCTAGTTTCATAACTCCACAGAAACCATATGTCAGTAGAAAATCATTTATAACTTAATTAACCTAAATTTCAGGATCACTCAGCTGGTTTAGTTGAATCAGGTGAAAAAATACTGCATATATTCTTTGTAATTGAAGATGATAAATCTCCATAAAATGTAGAGATCATCCTACTTTACTGTAAAATGTCTAAAGATCGTAAAGCATTGACTACTCTATCACAGCAGTGATTAATTGCATCTGGATTTTTAAGGGGATACTACCTGTTATTTAATTAATTGTTATCAGAGCTTATTCAAGATTAGGTTTAGGATACCCATGTAATAATCCTAAAATGTATATATTCAGAACAATATGGTTCTGAGGATTAAATTTAAGAAAATTAAAATTAATTGCTACTATTAAGAAACTTTACTGAAAGAGTACTGAAAAAGAGGTTTTGTACAAACTTTGACTCCATAAAGTCATAAAAGTTACCTCTCATATTCTTATTATTACAAGTATTTCATCTTATGGTAGCAAAACTGATATTATAATGGATTTGTGTTGCTTTAGCAAATTATATCTATATTGTTGAGGCAAATATTCCTAATATTCTGGAAACACTAGTGGGGAAAATAACAGTTGATAATTTGGAAAACTGGAAGTTAGGAATCTGCTCTTTGTTTACCATTAAATGGTCTTATCAGAGTACCTGTATTATGTATTTAATTGCTGGGATTGAAGAGAACCTTTCAGCCTCTCTCTTTGCAAATACAACTCTAAATACTTGAATGGAAATTTTAACTTTAAACTCCACAGAATAAATCAATAAGAAAGATTAAATCACTTTGTCTTATTGAATTTACTTTTGTACATGAAAACTACTTCTTTCACATTATCCAGAAAATATCAGAGAAAACAATGAAAAATAACTGATCATGGAGCTGCACATTCTACTGTATAAACAATCTACAAGGTGCCAACTAATTTAGCCTATTATGCCCATATGCATATATCTGGATAAGAGCACCTGAGCTAATATTTCAACTCTGTTTAAATTTTCATTGCAAAAAACTATGCCCCCAAATGACTCAAGACCATACAGTTTTTCTGCAACGCATTCAAACTTACTACTGTTTCTAGTTGATGTATTTCAGATTTCGTGTTTATACTATATATTGGACAAAGACTGTCAGCTTTCCTGCATACAGAAGGCAATGTTCTTCCCTCCCCCTGCACCCACATCAGCAGGGAATTTTCTGTGCACATTACCACTGACAGGCAACTGTGGCAGAAACCCACATTACAGAAACTGCACTATTGCACCTGCTTCTAGAATACACAAAGATAGAGAGCTGAATATATCCTCAGAGTCGACTGAATGAGTCTGCCTTCTTAACTCAACATGCACAGATTAATCTAACAGAGATGTTTCTTACAATCACAACTTCAATACTATCCTTAGAGACTGTTGCTCTGATAGAAGAAAAAACTGTGCACTATTTGGGGAATGCATCATCTCTCATGCACCCGAGAGGACTTGCAGAATTTATGTTTGCAAAAGCATGACTTATGATACCAGCTTGTCGTAAGAATTTCCCTATTAGATGAATGAACCAGCTAATTGCAAAGTCAAAACAACAGATACAAAGCATTGGCAATGGGAAAGTTTGGGGTTGCAGTTGATTTTTAGTTGATGGGTCAGGGTAGACATAACTCACCCAATATTTTTTATGATTGGATATATAATAATAATCTTAAAAATCATATTAAGATACTTGATTGGTGTTAAAAGGGCTCTGAGTTCTAAGTTTCATGTTCTGGGCTTTCTTCAATACTGACAATGGATTCCCTGGAACAACTCTCTCCGTCAAACAGGCTATTGAGAAAACTTTTTTGTGCCAGTTCACCAGGTTGAATACTAGGAAAAAGTTCTTCACTGGGAAGGTGGTCAAGCACTGGAACAAGTTCTCCAGGGGGTTGTTCACAACCCCAGTCCTGGAGTGCCTGACCAACACTGGAATCAGGAGTTTGATTCAATGATCCTTGATGGTGCCTTCCAACTCAAGATATTCCATGAATACACAGTCACAGATTTATACAAGAAACAGATAAAAACTTCCTCCTTTCAGGTGAACGGAATAACAGAATGCTGTACTGGAATAATTTGTAAGGTTTGAGTTCCAAGTGAATACAGATAAGATGTTTGCTATATCAGCTGTCAACACAGAATCATTGAATCATGGAATAGTTAGTGTAATAGTTCGTGTTGGAAAGGACCTTAAGATCAGCATCACAGTGCACTGCTTTAAATCACTTTTAAGGAGTTTAATTTCAGCTATTCATCTCTGCCATATAAAATCCAACTTGGAAGGATATCATTGGACAAGTTACTCTATTGTAAAGCTATATGGAAAGCAACAACCCCCTCCAATGGAATTTAAGATCTTTACGTGTTTTAAGGAACATTTTACCCTCCAGCTGGAACTTCAATTTAGAGAGATTATTACTTTCTTATTAGATCATTAACACCTTACAGCACATCATTCTACTTCAAAAGCATAAATATAATCATTTTTAATGTTCAATTCCAACTATATCAGATTGCTTCTTCAGTCTCAACCTATTATACATGAAAAAGACACTTTTCTACTTGACTTTTTTCTTTTTTTTTTCCTCAGAAAATACAGTTGTGTCTATTATTTCTTTGAAAGAAAGTCATCATTGGCATTAAGACTTTCCTCTTGCTTGAGTAGAGGGACTCAAATCTGGACTACAGAGGATTCATTGGGATTTTATATTATCTCTTCAGCTCTCATATCGCTTAAAAAATAATAACAAAAAGTTCTCTCTGTCATTTAAGGCTCATAGTTTAAATAAACTGTTTCTTTCTGGTCTAGGTTTAACACATACCTTACGTGAAATACAAAGATACTAATCCTTTTCCATGTGTGTATATATGTATTTTTACCAGCCTATTATCTGTAATTTTAATCAATGCTCATTTCCCCATATCTGTCAGTCCAAATATTTAATTTTGCCAGCAGATATTGGTTTTGTGGCACAGAATGTTATTTTTATTAACAGGTTAGGATTGTCAGGAATTTTTAAAGTTGCATTTAGTATTATACTTCTTTTTTTACTTTTGACACATCTGTTCATTTATTCATCCTTCACACTGAACAGTAACTGGTTCAGTTCTATGTATTACACATCTTGCAACATTATTAAACTATCTCTTATCTCTTTTTGCAGTGGAAGCTGAAATATATTTTTTGTACACATACATACACTTACGTAAGTCTAACAGGCTGTCCGATACATACACCTGTTAAAGCTATTAAGTTACATCTCCTTCCAGAATGAAAAAAAATCATCAGAATATTTCTTTGGTATAGTAACAGAACCAAAACCAGTTTTAAATGCAACTATTTTATTTCAGGGTTTCAGAAGAAATATTAGACTTGAGAGCCTTACCAAATGACCTGTTAAAACTTCATGGTGTTTTAGATCAAGTATTGGTGAGTCTTCCTTCTCTCCATAATACTGTTCAATTCACATATCCTTGTCAAACAAGAAACTGGTTATCGTAGTATTTCAAATTGAATGAGAAACCTGCTTGTCATGTGAAAATTAGATGCACAGATAATACATGTATGTTTCAATTAAACATAGGGTGCTCACTGCAGTAATGCATGTATTGCAAAAAAAAAAAAAACAAACAACCCAAATGCACACAAACAAACAAACAATCAAAACCAACCTAACTATGATGTTTGGACTTTGAGCCAATATTACCAAACTGGCAATAATCTAAAAACTGGCACATACCAGCCTGTAGACTTCTTCTGTCTGGGAAAAGTGCTGCTTGAACTTTTCTGTAGTCGTATTATCCTCAAACTTGCTTCTCAGAGAGCCCCTCATCACTTCTTCAGGAAAAAGACCTGGTTTAGAAAAGAATGTTCAAACATGCCATGCAGCATCTCTCTAAAAGCACATCGGTGCTAGTAGGATTAAATAAATTCATATACAACTCTCAGTTACTGTTGAGCTTTTGCTTCTGTTTCCATATAAGAGAGCAGGAGGGTGCTGTCTTAGGAGGATGTGAATTTTGCTGCTTATTCAAGTAAGTGCCAGTAGTATAGCCAAGTGAAAATTTTTCAAAAGATCAAAGGAAATTTTGGGAGGCTGGGGGTACAAGGAGGGAACAATAGTTGCCTTCAGAACAATGTCTGTTTCGGTTTAAATAGAGGAAATAGATTAAATAAATGAGGTTATAGGAAGATCTTCAACACTGCTCTCCATATTTGCCAACAAAAAATGGAATAGTGAAGCTAAGAAGTTGAAATTATTTTGTAAAAGAAGGTATGATTCAAGCACAACCAGTTTGCCTTGTAAGATAAAACACATGTATGCATATATACTTGTATGGATGTTACAGAAAAAAAATGTACATGATCCTATTTAGAACTGAAGCAGGTTGGTGATGGTTCAAAATG